CACTTTCCAGGCACTTGCAACATAAAATAAGGTGTGCAAGCCGTGCGTAAAGATGAAAATTCCCGGAAATGCTTCCTTTTTGCTTAGGCACTATAGGTAGGGATTCTTACCATCCAGTGCTCTCTACCATCTCTAGGGCTGGTATTCATACTTATTTAAGACCATCTTAAGTTCAATCTTAAGATGTCATGAACCAATCACAGAGCCGTATTAGCGTTTTAAGACATTACTTAAGACGATCTTAAAGACTATGAATACCGGCCTAGAAGCTTGTACTTTTAGTTTTTCTGCACCCTGCATATTCTTAATTGTTTTCAAAATTACAAATAGAAAAAAGCTAAATACAAAAGTTTGTTGACTATTATTATGTAGAGGAAAACTGATAATTAAATATTTTATAATTAACCAATCATGATAATAAAACGTTACATATTATTTGAATCAATTTAATTTTATACAGTAAGGCAATGTAGAGTAGAAGGTGGTGTGACAGCAGAGGCAGATGGAGAAATTCCTCTAAGAGCACCTAGCCAATGGAAGCCTTTGTTATTATTAATCCCGCTACGCCTTGGACTTAGCGAAATTAATCCTGTATACATTAATGGACTTAAGGTAACAATTTTTATGTATATATTATTTCCGTGTATGTATGTAAATATTAAACATATATAAAATTTAAAAACATCTCAATAATTCAGGTAGTTGTATGAAAATATGTTACTATATACAGGATGTTTCTTAAAGACCGTCCACTAACTACATAATGTTATTTCTTATCAAAAATTGAGTTGAAAAGTCGAGACTCATTTTTCTCTATAATGCTTAATAAAGCTGTAATTATTGAGTAAAGTCAGTCCACTCAGTGTTGCCCTTTAGCTGGCCGTACGTCAGTGAGTCACGTGCCTGGCAATACCCGTGAGCGCATACTACGTCCAGCTAAAGAACGACACTGAATAGACTGACTTTACTCAATAGTTACAGCTTTATTAAGTATTATGGAGGAAAATGGCTCAGACTTTTCGACTTAATTTTTTATAAGGAATAATGCTATGTAGTGAGCGGTCTTTAAGAAACACCATGTACATCAAAATATTGATGATATGTTGACATATATACTAAAATATATACATATTTATAATAGTTTAAAATACAGATTGTGGATTTGTATACAAATTTTTTTCAGACATCATTTAAGATCTCACAATCTCTCGGAGTGATTGGAGGAAAACCAAATCTTGCTTTATATTTTATAGGCTGTGTAGGTTTGTAACTTTTATTGCCACATTTTACAAAGAAAGGAAGATATAAAGTTTATGAAAGTTGCTCCAAAGAAATGCATAAAATGAATATTTTTTAGGAGATGAGGTGATCTATTTAGATCCTCATACTACTCAGAGGTCAGGTAGCATTGAAGATAAGATGAACGAAGAAGAAATTGAAATGGATAGTACATATCACTGCAAATCAGCTAGTCGTATTCCTGTTACGGACATGGATCCTTCTGTGGCGCTTGTTAGTATATGATTTGGCTTTTATTATAAAAGTCAGCAAGAGATAAAAAATTTTAGAGTTGCTCTATGAGAGAGAGAGAGAGAGAGAGGGAGAGGGAGAGGGAGAGGGAGAGGGAGAGAATATTGGTACAATATAACGTCTTTAACATTTAATATATAAAATAGAACTAGAACTTAAAAATAATAGTTATTGAATATTAGAAATATAATTGATTATTATGTTTTTTTTGTTACATTATATAAATACACATATGTATATTAAATTACATATGGTACTGTTAAGATTACATATTATTAATATATTAATAACTAATCTATAATATATATTTCAGTGCTTCTTTTGTGCCACAGAAAAGGAATTTAAGTCTCTATGTAAATCAATGCAAGAAGAATTAATTTTGCCAGAAAAGCAGCCATTATTTGAGCTATGCACAGAGCGTTTGGCACACTGGTCACCAGCAGAAGATGCTGTTTCGGAAGCGATAGCAGCTTCCAGTTGTAAGTATCTAAGTTATCACAAATAGCAACTTATAAACGTAAAAAAACGTTTAAAAAATAAAAATATATAAATAAGAAAATGTTTTATTACAAAATGTATATTAGAATAGAGAGGATTTTAATGTATTATTTAATAAATAATATATTTCAGTTGTTTTTTATTTTAAAATATTTGAAATAAAAGTATATTTTTAAGGGAGAAATATTACATAATATGTCTTTTACGACAAAAGAATGTTATTGATATATTTTAAAATAAAACTGATTTTTTTTTACATAATACAATTTACTTCTGCATATAAAAGTATTAAGATAAAGTAAAAAATCATTAATTTGAGATATTTTATATTTTATTCTCGCATATTTTGGTATAAAATGGATCGAATAGAAAAGGACAGAACAGATGAATTCTGTTATAATAGAGAAATGGATGATATATAGGGGAGACCGGGGCTAACTCGACATCGGGGCAAACTTGACACTAGACTTTTTGCTAATTTAAATCTATCGTAGAAACTTGCCTTTCCTACTGTAAATGCGTCTTTATGTGCTAGTATTATCAACGGGATTTGATGACATTCTGAGTTATGGTGTAATTTTTAGCGCGACATAAACGTATTTGATGATGAAAAGTAATTTTTCTGATCTCTCGAAAATTTCTACTCTTTAATCGAGCTTTATTCTTGCAAACCTATATGTAAGTGATTTTCATGGGAAATTTGATGCTCTATATGAATCCGATAATCGTTTTTGGATATTTTCAAAATTTTCATGTTTTTGAAGTGACAAAAGTGAAAAACGTCGTCCGGGGCAAAGTCAACACCACGCCGTTTCGTCGACTCCCAGTAACAAACGATGCTTGTCATGCAGCCATATGGCTCATGACAAATGTATGCGCACGTCCGATCGCGAGTTTACCTGCATTAATTGTTTTTCAGACATGAGTTTAGATGAAGATAATTGAAAGTTCAACAATTTTTGTTCTCATTATTTTAAATGATTGTTCTAGCTACTTTATTCCGAATTTTTATACTTTTTAAATACACAATAAACAATGTATTTTCATTTTCAGACAGTAAAAAATGAGTTCCAGATCAAATTGTGTCGATCAGAGACAAAGTGTTGAGTTTGCCCCGGCGGGGTGTCGAGTTTACCCCGGCATTTTTCAATTCGAAAATTTGTCCTTGCGTCACTTTTCCTTTCCTGGCGGCAAAACAAAGCCATACAGCAAAACTTTCTGAATCAATTTTGTACCTGAAGGAACACTCTTTAAATATATACTATATACCATTGAATTTGCCTAAAAATTTTAATCAAATATTAAAAATTGCCTTTGAAAAAATAGTGTCGAGTTAGCCCCGGTCTCCCTTATATATATATGTATATACACACACTTTTATATTTATTATTACATGCTTTGTTTATGAATTAGCATAATTAGTAATAATAATTAATTATTTGGTTTTGTATCAAAATAGAAACCTTTACAAGCACAAATTTTTATATTTGTCGGTTTAAAATAGATTCGATTATGGATAACTGATTTGTAAATAGAAAATAAAATTTATTTACAAGCAATTATTATACAAATATAATTCTTTGTGCAGTTGTGGACTTTGAGCACATTGAACGTCAATACGACACATCTGATGAAGACTTTGAACTGCTTGGTTGACGTCCATCTAATTCATCTAGTATTGCGACAAGATGCGACATAACAATTGAATGTTACACAATGGTGTTCTCAGAGATAATTTGTATTTTCGACTAGTGCAATGCGAAGTTAAAATACTCACACAATATAAAAACTATACATGTGTGAATATTATATATATATATATATATATATATATATATATATATATATATATGTATGTATATATAATATTATATTATATATTATATATAATCATTAAATTGCATATAATATATATTTAAATACTTTGTACATACAATCATATATATATAATGTTCAGGTTTATACATTTGCGCGATATTATAGACATCAACAAGCGCATACGTTTGTGCTTACAGAGATCTTTGTGTCTCTGTGGTATTGCATTGATAATTTATCATTTTTATTTGATTATACATGTGTAATATTTCTAAAATAAAAGTGTGAATAAAATAATTTTTTAAGATTTTTAAATGTAGACAGTTAAGAACTTAAAAAATGCAGCGATTTTAAAAGTTTAGATATAAGAATATAAAGGAAATTAATGGAAATTAAAACTAACTTATATACGTACGGGCGACATCCGGTTCAATTGTTTTTTAAATATTTATCACGAGATAGTGAATATGAAATTAAATATGAAATTGAAAAATAAAATTTGTAAAATTTTCAAAAAATTTGAATCCTATAATTGAATAATGTAACACAGAATCTATTATAAACTATCTTAAAACTAACTTACTTTTAAATTTTATATTTCTTTAGATGCTCACGCATATATCATTTCATACATACCGGTCGGTTCATTTTGTATACATAGTTTATCATAACAAAATAATCAATCAGTCTCAGTTAGACAATGATGAGTTCAAATTCTACTATTGTTATGGTTACTTGCGTCGCTATTATTATTCTAAATGTTGATTATTAATGGAAGTGTTATTCTCTTTTAGAGGATAAAAGTCAATGATCAGACTATAGAATATAAACAACCTTGACAACCAAGGTCATTATATGATTTCGTAATTGTTAGTTAATACAGTAACGGAGCTAGAAATTACAGTACTTAATATTCAAAGAATAAACTTTTGAGCAGAACAAGAAATTTGTATACAAATTCTTAATAAAAAAAAAAAACTAATTTTGCAACGTAATATTTTTTACTATTGTTTTTATTATTCCATTAAAAAGTTTCGGCAACCTTAAAAGTTTGTTCAACTTAATTGAGAAAATAGGGAGTAAAGAAAAAGGGCTTTTAAAAAGTTTTTCAAAATTTACATGAATATATGTATTATTTTGTACTATTTGAAATAGTGGAAAGACTAATGGCGTTTTCGATTTACTACTCGACCCGACTCGGGTCGCATCAATGGACGTGGAATACATACATAGATATGTATGTATTCCACGTCAATGATGCTAGAGTCCTGTATACATGATGCGACCCGAGTCGGTTTGAGTCGCAAATCGAAAACGCTATAAAAGAAACTAAAAGAAACTACGGAAGGGCGAAAATCTCAAGTTTCGTCACTGCACACGTACTGAGTATATATATTTTAAAGAACGCAACTGGTGAGATTCTTTGTAGTTTTATATTATCTCGTATACTAGGCGCATATTGTGTCTTCGTGGAATATATACGTGGGCTGCGATAAGCATGCAAATCGCTGTCGTAATACTTAAGGATTCTTTTGTCATACACGACAAAAGACGTTTCCTTTTATAATCTTCTTCAATTTTCTTAACAAGTAATGTATATTTCGATGTATCATACATAGAAAGAATATTTTGATATTAACATGTTTGTAAATAGCGAACATAGACATTATTACAAACATATAGAATTTGTACCAACTTTTTATTAAAGAATTTTATATTAAGCAAGAGAACGGTGTAGAATTAACTTTTCTCTTCAAAGGATTTACTTAACATATATAATTTCAGAAGTCCGAAATATTTATGAAGATTATTTATGAATCTGTTATTATTCTTATAAAACGTGTCTAGATTTTTAAAAATCAAGGATGGTTTTATGGAAGTTTATCCATCTCATCTATTCTTCTCTTTATTCTAGTTTCCATTTTCGCTAGTGTACTTTGTACATATTATATATTACATTATACATTAAATTTTCCATATTTTATTTATTTCGTACCTGACTCCACTTTGAATTATATTTATATAAAATTTGACATTAATAGTTTCTATTGGAAAATTTATAAAAATTTAAATGTGTTTGTGCATATGCATTTCAATTATTTTCTTCACAAATTCATGTTTGTAGAAAATTTTAATATAATTAACTACCTTTATCATTTCTACAAAAGAAAATTAAAAGTGTTAAAATAACGTCTTTTTTTAATTATTGTCGACTCAGTACTTATCGCGGCGTGTTTGTTTCTCATTGCAGTTGCCTCACGAAAAGTATTTCCAGTAACATTGCCGACAGTTAAGAATTTTATTATAATCCACCTTGCAGTTGATATGATGACATCAGGTATGAAATCCATGTTGCTTGCATTTTTAATTATTACGACGTTCTCAGAAGAAAGATCGCAGGGCATACCATTGTTTCTTCAAAACGAATTTCTAAATTTTCTCTTCCCTAAGGACCCTGGTTTAGTGAGAGTAAGAAAAATAGATCAAGCCGAAAGAATGGACAGTGGAAAAGTATTGGATTTTGTGAGTGAAAATTAATTGTTTTTACAATTTAATATAGATTATATATTCAATTTAATATAGAATATAGATTAAACTATACAATTTCACCGCGTCTTGAATTGTTAAGCCAAAAGTCTCTAAATGTTGTATAAATATTTTTTTACTTAATTTAAAAAAAAAATCGAAATTGAAATAGAGATGAAACGATGATATTTTGTGGATGTTATATATTATGCTATTCTTTTACATAGATTGGCCTGGTAGAACAATATGATTATCCCGCTGAGGAGCATAACGTGACAACGGAGGATGGTTACAATTTGAAAATACACAGGATACCTGGTAGTCCATTGTTGGATAACAAGAAAAAGAAGGAAATTGTATTCATACAACATGGCATTTTGGCTTCATCTGATAGTTGGGTACTGTACGGTCCTGGTAAAGACCTTGGTACGTATTTACTGATAACATGTAGTTGTTAACGTAACGTGCGAATCAATTCAAAACATCGTGTAAAATTTCACCATATAGCATTTTTGTGAAGAACCGAAGATTCCACCTTCAAATCTTATAACTTGAAAATTATTAATGCATTGATGTTTTTGTAAATATGTCCTTTTATAAATTTTAGTCAAATCTTTCTTTTTATATACAAAAATGTCCAGGTAATAATATTTAATATTATTTTAATATAAATTTTATTTCAAGCTACTGAAAATAAAGAGGCGATTTTTTATGAGTTAGATTTCAAAGAGGATTACAAAGAAATAATAGGACGTTAGTTATTTTTCAATTTAAAGTGGAATTAAATAGAATAATCTGAACCTCAATCAAATATTAAAGTATTAAAAGATTTAGAAATATAAAGATATTTTTGAAAAATTAATTTTAAATTTTAGAAAAAAATAACGATGTACATTTCCTGGAATTTAGTACATTCTCTATATAGCGCACTAATATAACTTATTATTATTTTTTGTGTTACAGCATTTTTACTGGCAGATCAAGGATATGATGTATGGATTGGAAATGTGAGAGGAAATAGTTACTGCAGATCACACGTAAATATGACGACATACGATCCCAAATTCTGGCAGTATAGGTAAACGTTAATATTAAAATTTAAAAATTATTTTGGGGAAACATCAGACCTCAAGTTTAAAAATCCATTTTAAATTGAAAGTGTACGACCTACCTGAAAAATGAGATATTTATGAAGCAAAATGATAAAGTATTCGTTACTTGTACTGAATAAAGTGTAGGTACTTATACTTACCAAGTGATATGAATATAAAGTTAAAAATTTCTAAAAGAATATGCAATGAAGACGAAAGCATATATGAAAATGAAAGAAGGAATTTTATAACACGTTTTGTAAACGTTAAAGTTTGCATAGTATTCTCTTTATTAGCCCGATTGTAATTCTTTTATTTTTTAATCTTTTTCTCACTGTAAATTGATTGCGTGCATTTGTCAAACGGGTGGGGGGGGGGGAGGAGGGAAGGGGAGCGAGAAAATATGTTTTGTTAAATATATCGTCATAATTCTTATTTTTCAGCTTTCACGAGATTGGAACAAAAGATCTGCCGGCCATGTTCGATTACATTTTCAATTATACAAAGCAAAAAGATTTATACTATATCGGTCATTCAATGGGGGGTACTGCGCTATTCACTTTTCTGTCATCAAGACCGGAATACAACATGAAAATAAAAATGGCTATTTGTCTAGCTCCAGCTTCTTTTTGGATGAAAGTATCACCCACACTTAATGAATTAATTACCATACTTCCAACAATAAAGGTAACTGCCAAAATCTGTGACTTTTTATTGCAAGCAATAGCGTTTAAAATACAAGATTAAATAATTTCATAATTTTTATTATTTAATGCGCTAAAAATATTCTTAGCTATTACGAGCTAATACTTGTATTGCTGGTTTTATTCGTTCCAGGAAATTCTACGAGAGCGTGAAACGTATGATGTTTTTCCACAATCTTTAGCGACTGTTACGGTAGCAAGAACGTTGTGTAATGACAATGCGATGACTCAAATTATTTGCGTCACTGTATTATTCTTAATCGCTGGTCCTGATCCAGCACAACTTAACACCGTAAGTTTCATCATACATAACATATAAAAGACACGTAATACAATGTTTATAATAAAATTCCGACATCGTGATGTTTTAAGTATTAATTATAAACAAACGGAAAATATGAGCGACAATTTTCTTTCTGAGGGTCTTCCTATTCCAACCCAAGTGGTAATAGCTTTTTAATTCTCCTTAACAAAAAATTATAATATTACAAAAAATAATTTTAATCACAAAGAATTTAAGAGGTAACAATAGAAAATAAAAATATTTAATTAAAATAAAATAAATAAATTTTTCTTGTAAAAAAACTTAGCGCTGTTAAACTTCGAAATTTAAACATTAGTACTAAACATTAGTATCAAATTTTTCGATTGAATAAAAAAACAATAAACATAATTTAGGAAAGAATGCGACGGGAGTAAAAAAGGAGTGCCAAGTTCTTTTACAAAAAAAATTTATTTATTTTATTTTAATTAAATATTTTTATTTTTTACTGTTACTTTTTTAATTCTTTGTGATTAAAATAATTCACTGTAATATTATAATTTTGTTAAGAAGAATTAAAGCTACTACTTGGATTGGAATAGAAAGACCCTTGAATGGGAGCACAAAAATATGTATCACTTGGGTTTTATTTTTTGAAAGTAGTTGCACAACAATTATTTTATATATATATATATATATACTACTATCACTATATATATATATATATATACTACCACTTAGGTTGGATTTTTTTATTTGCAAAATACATGGCGTGTATTTGGCGCTTTTTTTATCTTTTTTGAAAAAGGTAATTTTTTTTAATGACATTTCATGGGCAGTGGAGCAGCAGCAGCAGTTGATCGTACCGATTGGCTACAAGACAGAGAATTTCTAGAAACTCGAGTACTTCTACTATTTTGTAGCTAATTAGTACGATCTGCTGCTGCTGCTCCACTGCCCATGAAATGTCAGCTTAAGTTGTAATTAGACGTAGAAAAACGTAGAAATTATGCGTAACAAGTTTCTACGCATAATTAATGATTTCTATGTCTTAGTATGCTTATTTACAACCAATGAAATATTTTGCTCACAAAGCTTCTCTATGAGGAAGCTTGTATTTTATTTGATGCATAATTATTAGTATTTATTAGTTTGGCTTCCTCATAGAGGAAGTTTTATGAGCAAAATAAAATAGGAGTAATGGTAGCGATCTGTAATGATAAGGAAGCAATGTGCAAGTTTCTAATTTGCACACTTTTTTTCATTTTAAATTTAACCTTTTTATGAATTAAAAAAGGATAAGCTTAGTAGCACAAGTGGGGTTTTACAATTGACGTAATAGTCTAAGAGCTGGCTACGAAAATTAAAAATGATATGGTGCAGTCAAAATTTGTATATGAAAACCCTCCTTACTATCTGAAAAGCACGTAGCACTGCAGCCAGAAGTCGCTCCCGGGGAAGGAAGCGTGGGCGGGTGGTCAAACGCGTTTATTTTTAATCAAAATAAAATTTTTAAGTGCAGTTCTGATATTTTGTAAAGTTGTAGTTTTTAACTGTAGAAATTACGGAAAATTATTGCCAGAAGTCTAAGGCGGGGCTAAAACGTTGTCAGAAGTCGGTAAATTTGTAAAAAAATTGTTTAAATTTTAATGACAAGGTGCAGTTCTGGCGATTTTGTTTTTATATTATTTAAGGCTTAAAAAATTGGATATTAATTGCCAGAAGTCAAAACGATGGCTAAGTATGTGAATAAAAATGATAATATCGTAAGAAGTCGGTAAAACGGAAAACGATTCTTTAAAATTTAAATAAGGTGCAGTTCTGGCAATTTGTTTCTTTTATTATTTATACTGTTAGTGAACTATATATGCAATTGCAGAAGGCTAAGTGAGGGAATGCATAAAAAAACCATAATCATGCCGAGTAAGCGCTGAACTGTTAAAACCGTTAGGTGTTTGAAACACATTGTGCAAAAATAAATTGCATATAAAAATGATTCATCAACTAAATTCAGAAATAGAATTTATTAATTTGTTGCAATAAAAATTTGTTGCTCGGCTCTTTTTGGTCTTAAAATATTCTACATGGACCGTGCCCTATCAGAATATGCAACTTAGGATTTTTTTGCTCGCCCCTAACTGCAAATAAGCAAATTATTTATCTCCGCGTCGACCGTTACCTACGACTTTGATAGCTAAAAACTAACTAAAAGAATTTGTTGCTCGGCTCTCTTGGTCTTAAAATATTCTATGAACCGTGCCCTACCAGAATATGCAACGTATGATTTTGTTGCTTCTACCCTGCCGAAAATGTTCGATTAAAACCGATTAAAAAGAAAGTAATCCGAATCGATCGGGATTTCTGCACCGAAAATACGGTATTAAAACCGATTAAAAATAGTCAAATCGAATTTAGTACGCTTCAGGCGGATTTGATATACATCCATTTAAATCCGAAATTATACGATTTCATAAGCTATAATTAAATCGGTTTTAATGCGATGTGATTCTGTCGGAGGATGACAAAAGTAATCCGTTGCAATCCGAAATTCTATTTTACGAACATTTAAATCGGTTTTAATGCGCTGTGAATCTGTCGGAGAATAACAATAAAAGTAATCCGTTGCTATTCGAAATTTCACGATTTTGCGGATTACATCGCGATAGACAATTAAATCTGTTTTAATGCAATTGAATTAGCTAGAATTTACCATAGTCAATCCATAGGCAAAAATAATGTCTTTTAATAAAAAATGTTATCATTTCGCAGATAAAAGGTAAATCGATTTTATGTAGTGTGAGTAGGATTTGCTGTTATCATGAGTCACAATAAAGCTATTTAAAATCAAATCTTTATTTTTTTCTCAACTGCATAATATTTACAAAAGAAATACAATTTAAGCGTTAACCTTCAAGTGGTTATTGTTTATTTAGGTATTATTAACTCCTAATATGAGTGTATTGTTTGCAGTTTTTAATCAATTTTCAAACTTTTAAGCAATACAAACAATTAAAATTGAAAATAAAATCTTCAAAATAAACAAATAAGTACATTAACTTCGCCAGCAATTTTAACTAAATTGAGAATAAGATGGAATTTTAATCGACGTAACTGGCAATCTCAAGATATACGCGTTTAAGATTTGAAATTTATTATGAACTAATAAATTTTTCAAATTGATTAAAATTCCATCTTATTCTACAATTTTTTCAAAATAAACATAAAATTTTCGCTATCAAAACATTAATATATTTAAAAGAACAAACTTTTCTGACTATTATGATGAATACAATTCGGGTGAGTAATCGTAAAAACGAGAATCTTGGTTATCCTCAACAACATTTACGTCTTTCGAGAGTAATATATATAAATTAAAACAATGTATGAATGGTCCAAACGGAATTGACCAGCAAATGTCGAAAAAGTCCTTGGAGATATTGCACTTTCTAACGGATAATGTAGATTACTGTGATGATTCTGCCGTGTCTGACTACTGCAGATTTCAATATAAACATTTATCAAAATTCGATACATCTGATGACAACAATGTCATTCTTATTGGCAAATGCTATAGCGTAAAATGCGATGATAAAATGTATAAAGCATATAAAAAATGCATCGTTAGAGGCGTTGTATTTCACAGCCTAAAATATCGCAAAGCGAAAAGAACGAACGATACAATGATTCAGTTACATTCAGGCGAATATGGTCAAATAATGCACATTATTCTATTAAATAATAAATGCCACATGCAAATATCAAAAATTACGATTAGTTCCAATAAACCGTTTAAAGTGTCGTACATGGATAGGATAGAATCAGAAGATTATGTACATAGCTCAATAGTTCCCATAAGCGATGTCAAAAGCAAAGCTTATTCACATAGATGTTGGATATTGTAGATATTTATGCAAACCTCCGAATACATTTGAAATTCAATAATAAATAAAACTTTGTAATAAATACAATTTTGTTTTTTTATTTATATATACACACAGTCAAATATAATTATAACAAAAATTTGATTTAATTGCATTATATCCGATTTCCTTTTCATCTGAAAAATCGGAGAATTTCAAATTCAAACGAATTACTGTTGCTTTATCACAAACTATATAAATTTGATTCTTATTGCATTCAAATCAATTTAGTTTTTATCCCCGAAATTGGTAAATTTTGGATTAAAACGGATTACAAAATCAACTCAATTATTAAAAGTGGATATTATTATAACGGATTGAAATTGCATACGCGCAATCGCTGAATTTCGAATTAAAACGGATTAATGTTGTCTTTCTTAGCAAATCGGATTCAGATGGATTACAACCGATTTTATTGAATCGGTGTTTTTGTAATTGAAACGGACTCATCTCTTGAAAAGAAATATACAAAATTAGGCGGATTATTTTGGATTATATATCCATCCGATTATTAGTGTTTATTTTGGATTGACAACAATATGGATTAGAATGTAATGATTTCGGATTAGAAATAATCTGCAAAAGCGATATCAAAACCCATTCTGATTAGTTTGGAATTAAAATCGATTACTTTTTAATCCGGGCGCGGATTGAACCGATTAAAACCGATTTAAACCGATTAAAACGGATTATGTTTTAATTGGTTTTAATCGAACATTTTTGGCAGGGTAACTGCAAATAAACAAATTTGGTAAAAATTACCGTTAGAAACAGTTAGAAACAGATAGAATTTCTGACGGTATGTAACGAAATCCTATCCGCTGTAACTGCAAGCTTGAAAAGAAAATTCTAGCTCTATCCGTTTCTGTAAGCAGCACTATTGTATCTGCAAATACAGACAGAAAATGTAACGACGTATAACTGTATCTAATGGAAATCTATCGGCATACAGCATCTATAAGCTTTTGCAATAGAAAAACTTGTCTGTTTCTGTCCGCATTCTGTACGCATCAGAAGCTGACGGTATCTATCCGTAATTGCGGATACCGCATCCATCTGCATCTGTACGCAATGTCGACCTACAGAAATTTATCTGCAACTACGAATACGAATCCTGTATGTTTCTATCCGCAGTCTGTATGCATCAGATGCTGACGGTATCTATCCGTAATTGCGGATACCGCATCCATCTGC